GCAAGATAAAGAAAGTGCATGTGACAAATGTGGTTATGAAGTACACATTGCTTTTATTTACTGAAGTCAAATACAGAAGTCTAGCACATATCAGTGATACGCCTCATGCTCATGAACCTCATGCTGCTCATGCCCATGTCCCTGAAGCTCCTGTACTCTCCGGGCCTCAGGTACATCATCCTGCCTCTGTAGTGGGCTTGCTCGTACATCAGCCAGTGGCCATCCATCACGTTGCAGGACATGCAGTCGGACATGCGGTAGCGGTCCATGATGCTGTCGCAGTCGTCCATCAGCTCGTTCATCTGACCACCGAAGTTCTCCCTCTCATAGATCCTCATCCTGAACTGGCCTCTGTGCTGTAATTAAATGTAGAGAAAATGTAAGTATGATTACTAAGGAGCATTTTAAAAGTTAATAATGAATCAAAATTATAGTAGCAAAAGTGAAGCACGTCTTACAAAGGGGATCATTCTGCAGGATCTGATGGAATCAAACATCATTCCCATGCTCATCATGCGCTGCATGTCATGGTACTCGCCCCTCCTAAGGAAGAACTGCATGCCCATGTAGTTGGGACGCTCATAGACCATGAAGCAGCCGCTCTCCACCCTGCAGGACTGGCACCTGCTCAGGTAGGAGGACATGTCAGAGCAGTCGCTCGTGCACTCATAGGAGCGACCCTGGAAGTTCCTGTCCTCGTAGAAGACGATCTGAAAAAACAAAATGATAAATCAGTAAATCGATTAAAGAAGATTATTTTTGCTTCCTTTTACAGTAAAAATCATCCCATTACCTTGCCCATGATGGTGGTTAAGGTTGTTCCCAGTGGATGGTTCAACTTGCTCTGCCAACTCCATGATTCCAGGGCCTTTTTATACAAAATCCCAGGGGCCATGATGTGTTGTTATTCAAATGTGCAAAGCTGATGAATTAGCAGTATTACTTTTGCTGAACGGGGCCTATAAATGACTAACAATGGTTCTCCATCCATACATTTCTGGCAGCAGTCATCCGTATTGTCTATTATAAGCATATGCTTTGTGTGTGTTCCATTTTGAGTCAGAAGGCTCTTCACATACAGTTAGTAATCAGGGATGGAAAGAACATGACATCAGGCTACATCTGTGGTAAACTTCTGACAAACTGTAGAAAGATTCAGTTAATACAAAGAAATAAATATACTAACTGCCGGCTTTCAGGACTCTCGATGATAAGAAATATGTTCCGTAACTTAAAAGCCTGAGTTTCATTTAAAGGACAATCTGCATGCTTTATTAAGTTCTTACGGATGTTATTATACTATAAGATTAAAGTGCGATAAATAATCATGAGATGAAAGGCCATACACAAGCTACAGTAAGATACACAGCCTTTAAACAAACACAGACACAGCTATCAACATTCTAATCTCATAAAATATAGTAACTAATTATTCAGTATTCTTACTTTTGATGAGTTACTAAAAAAGTTTTTAAAAAAAATAGGTTAGCAGTAGATGGATTTATGCAATATTAAAAGTTCAGACAGTTTATGTACATATACCTATGGAGAATACTTTAATTTGCATTCACACAGCTTAATTCTAAAGAAATTAAAATTAAAAATGTGTCACTCCTCTAATTCCATCATGCAACATCTGGTTGTTCCTTTTTTGCAATACTTTAACAGCAGCTGGCTGGAGAAAAAACATTAGTAATATGGTGATATTGCACTAATTCATTTCAGTTGCATTAATTTACTTTTTCATTTGCAGGTATTTGTTTAAACGTTTTTGCAAATTTGGATCAGAAACACTCATTTCTATCACTGATCTGCCTCTTCTTCTTACACTGTAACTAAAATTATATAAAGACACTCAGTTCCCTTATTTTGAAAAGTTGAGTTTATTAGGAAGTCCTGAAAAAAGACTCTGTTGTTATGATTGGGTTTTAGGCTATATAATAACTATACAGTTGTTCAAGTGAGACGTATATATTAGACGGTTCTTCCAAATTCAATTCAACTAGTTTGTCGTAAGTAGAAATACTGATGAGCCATCGTGAACATCGTGAGCTGGGATTTTGAAGAAGGATTGCTCCATGTGGTCTCCAACTTTGATAAGAAAAATCTAAAAGAAAATCACATCTGGAAACATATATCTCCTGACTGACATTAGGGCTTTGTTTAACTTTGACCTAAAGAGTGGAATTTGGGCGATTTCAAAAGAAATTACAATATTAAGTTAATAATATTAATATAAAAATTCAAACATAAGAAAAGAAGTTATTTTATTAAGTTTATAAATACTTATGATTACCAACATAATAAGGGATTCAGCAATGTCGATAAGAAATAATGGTACAAATACCTAGTATTAGTATGTAGAATATGACAGATAGTCATGAAATTAATGTATCATTGTGTTATACACAGATTCTTTCTTTTATTCCAGAAAGTACAACAAGTGAGTCCAAACAATAATGCTGTAGATGATTTTGTTGTTGCCTACTTGATGTATAGTTTATTTGTTTAAGATCAGCTGGACTGGCCAGGGTGTTTTTTTTAATTACATCTAATTTAATAAACAAAAGTAGGTATTGTTCTTCACAGTACCTACAGAGTAAGTACAGGATCTGCAGACCAAACAGTCAACATGTTACCAGTCTTTTGATGGGTCCTGTTATGTACCCGCAACAAAGCAATCACAGTTTCAAAGCTGAACAACTCAATCAAAACAAATTCACAAAACGAGTTAAAAATTCAACATCTTTAATAAACAAAGTGCTTTATATTTACAGCAAGGTTTCAGTTGATGGCTAAAATTCGGTGACTCTCCTGAAGGAGCCGACAATGGCGCAGGTGGCGCACCAATCGCGGTACCTCCTGTACTCCCCGGGTCTTAGGAAGTACTGTCTGCCTCGGTAGTTGGGGTACTCGTAGAAGATCCAGTAGCCATTCATAACATTACTGGAGTAGACATGGCGGTGATGGAAACGGTCAGACACACAGGGACAGTCATCCATGAACTCCATCATGTGACCACTGAAGTCAGGCTTCTCATAGATACGCAATCTGTAGGAACCTCGATACTGTGGGGCCAGAAGAGAATCAGCAACATGTTCAAACCTTTGCCATATTTCAGTGAAACCATTATGTCTAGGTGTATTTTTCAGCGTTATGTCTGTCTTACCACTGGAATCATCCTACAGGAGCGGATACAGCTGCTGAAGCCCATCCACCTCTGGTAGTCAGGATACTCTCCCCTCCTCATGAAATACTGGTGGCCCATGAAGTTAGGGCGCTCATAGATCATAAAGCAGCCACTCTCTACCCTGATGGAGTTGCAGCGGCTGAAGTACAAGTGAAGGTCTGTGCAGTCATTACTGCACTCATAGGAGCGACCCTGGAAGTTCTTGTCCTCGTAAAAGATAATCTAATGAAAAATAAAAGAGTCGTAGCTTCAGCTGCTCAGTTAAGACTTTCCAGCAAAAAAAAAAAAGTGTAAAAGACCACCAAAAAATGTAACTAACATTCAATGTGAGCAGAGAGGAAAAAAAACAGTACTTACCTTGCCCATGGTCTCCGTTGGAGAGATTCCCCATGTTTTCAGGGCTTTTTATACTACCTTGCAACAAACAAATGCATTGTTATTCAAATTATCTCATAGTTATAATTGAAGGCTACTAGCACATGTTTACCTTTTTGTTAGAGCCCAACATTGGGTGAGAAATATGGATCTGTATTTGAAAAAAAGGATAAATTAACTGGTTTGGTGTTTTGACATGCATGGACAAAGGAAAAGACTAGTATGGTATCCACACATCCAGTGGACAATAGCTGCAGAACAATATGGAACAGGGCTTTGGCATTAAATATGTTGTGTAACAGAGCAGGAAGCCATTTACTCTCCCTCTACCTGAGCAACCCTACCATATGCAAATAAACAAGCGTGTGTGTATACTGTGCTGCCAGTCTTCATGTGACTTAGAAGATAACAGAAGTTTTGTATATACTTTTACAGTTTACTGTATGTTAAGCAGTGTAAAATTCACTATTTTTAAATGATTTAGGACTTTCACGATTACTTACTCACAGTAATTTGACTTTCTGAAGACTCCCCCTACAGGAGAAATGGACCTGGACACATAACTCCTATTATTTTTATTTCTTGGTATTACCACCAGCCACTAGTCAAATATAATTAATTACTTATAACATTTTGTTATGCTGAAAACTGTGCAATAGTAAATTTCACCTTGATTTGAGCCTTTTTTTTCCTCTCCCTCTCTCTTCAAATGTAAGACTTATGTGAAAATGTTAAGGTTTCTGTATTTAATATCACTTAGTAGTGTAGTTTATCAATCACTAAAAAAGTTAAAGTTTATATTATACTTATTTTCCAGATAAATTTTGTTTAACTTTTACGTTTTTTGTTGTTTGTTTAAAATCTTTAAGACAATCTTTAGCATAATGAATGTTTTTGGTCCTTGTGAGCTGTTTCAAAGCAAATGTCAATCATAACAGTGTAATGTGTCTGACATTAATTTTAAACTGTTTAAAAAACATGTGCTTATGTTACCATCTTTGCCAGATCAATCTCATTCTTACATTGTTTATTCCATATTTTGTCATTTGTTGTCAGAGGTGTCCAGGATCAGTTTCCTCTCCTACACCGTGCAGCGTAGTGTTTAACACTAATCGTATGGATAAATTCTCCCACCGCAGACCAGCTAATCCTATCGAGCCAACCAACTGGGAGAGGTATTGTTTGCCATGGTATGCCTAAGCATAGAGGAGATTAAACTATAGTGCCTAGTTACCCAGAAGCTGGTAGATAAATTGTTTCACCACTGGCCCCAAAGAGTACTTATTTTCCATTCTGTAACATTTGATTGCAAGAAAAAACTCATCTGCCATCTTAAGGGTCCTTTGCAAAATATTAATGAAGTTTTGTAGTGATACATGGAAATAAAAGATGCTTGTTTTATTAAGCAGTTAAAGTTTATTGGGAATACAGACAATTCAAGTCATCGAAAGATGCATTTAAATGAAGCTTGACTTCAGTTGAAGTCAGTGATTCTTCTGATGGAGCCGATCCTTGGGCTGATGCCTCCCCAGTCACTGTACCTCCGATACTCTCCAGGCCTCAGGTAGTACACTCTGCCCTTGTAGTTAGGTTGGTCGTACAGTAGCCAGTGGCCGTCCATCACATTGCAGGAGTTGAAATCAGACATGCTGAGTTGGTCTTGGACATTTGGACAGTCATCGACCAGCTCATGCATCTGCCCGGTCATGTCAGCACGCTCGTAAAGCCTCATCCTGTAGGAACCCTGGTGCTAGCAAAGAAATAAAAAAAAAACTCTTATAATCTCCCCAATCAGGTCCTTCTTTACATGCATTTAATTACTTAAAACATTTTTGATAAGCAAGAGTTGACCGGGTAACCTATAAGGATTTAAAAACTAGTCCCTTAATATAATATTTTTGTCTATTAACATCTTGCAAAAGAGCTTTCAGTAAACTCTATGGTGCTAAAATTAATTTATAGTTTCTGAATATCTGCCCATTTAGCAGTAACCCAATATGGGTTTCTGGTAACCTGATGGATATTATGGGGTTATAACAGAGTCTTAAAGCAAGTCATTATGACCTACCTGTGGGATCATACGGCAAGATCTGACACAGTCATTAATGCCAATCATACGCTGGTTATCAGAGTACTCTCCTCTCCTCAGATAGTACTGATTGCCCATGTAGTTGGGCCTCTCATACACCATGAAGCAGCCACTCTCCACCCTGATGGAGTTGCATCTGTTGAAGTAGGTGTGAAGATCGGCACAGTCGCTGCTGCACTCATGAGAGCGCCCTTGGAAGTTTCTGTCTTCGTAAAAAATGATCTGCAAAAGCAACAGGCACACATGGACACTTTTTTACAGAGTGCTGTTAGAAGCCACAAAAAAAGGAGTTTTGTAAAACCACAACATTTAGTTTCTTTACCTTTCCCATGGTTGTGTTGGCATCAGACTCTATTACCAGTGCTGTCCCTGAGCCAAGCTACTGTGCTTTATAAAAAAGAAAGAAAGAAAGGACTGCCGTGTGATTGCACAGCATAAAGTATTGTCATTTAAATATATCCCCACAGTGATGATGGATCACAAGTGGGGGTGGGCAGATAGGAAAATCTGTTTATGTATAGATGACTCTTGGTGTGTGTCGTTATTGTTCTTTCCTCCATGTTCATCACAATTTCTTCCCGAAAATGCTGTTGTACAATAGGATGATAGTCACATAGTCCTGCACAACATCAGCAGAATAATACTGATATTTAATAGAGCCAGCACATAATTTGCACAAGCTGCCAGCTGCTTGCTTGTTGGGTTTTTTTTTATGTGAGTCAACATTTCTAAAGTATCAAACATGTTGGCTATGACTTCATATGAAGGACTTACAAAAATGTCTTACTTATATCAGGTTACCACCATGGACTAATCTGTTTGTTTGAAACGTTACAGTACTAACAAATCATGCTTTGATAAATGAGGTCCTCCTCACAACTGAATGGACTATGACGACTCCATTTTGCAATTGCTTTATTACAATGGTGAGTCCAATGGTGAGCCCAAGCTTTACATAAGGGAATGTTCTGATGCAGGACAGTAGTATTTTGATTAAGTGACAAAAACTGTTTTCTGTTTCTTTCTTTAGTGTTGCAAGCATAATTATCTGACTATGAAGGCTCTCTAAAATGTTCATGTAGCTCTGGCAACTACCAAAAGTGGTCAATAGTCCATGATGCGTTTGATGGATCCGACTCTGGCACTCCTGCCACCCCACTCACTGAACCTCTTATACTCTCCAGGCCTTATCAGGTACATCTTGCCCCGGTAGTTTGGGTGCTCGTAGAAGAGCCAGTTGCCATTTTTCACGTTGCAGGAGAAGATGTCATTAACGTGGAAGCGATCCATGACACTGGGACAGTCATCCACAAGGTCCATCACCTGACCCCCAAACTCGATCCGCTCATACAGGCGCATGTTGAACATCCCAGGCTCCTAGTTTTGAATCAAAGATGGTCATTATTTACTCAACTGCACCTTCAGGAACTACCTCTACAAAAAAAAAGTTGTTATATTTGTAATGACTCTCGAATGTAATTATGGAATCTTCTATTTTGCTACAAGGAAATAATACTGAATGAGTTTGGGAAACTGATTTTTTGAACGACAATGAAATAATATGTTTTTAGCTTGCTAGCTAACCTAGCTAAACATGCTAATGTACCTACTTTGGTCAAAATGAAAGACACAGTTCCACTTCCTCAGATTGCACAAAAAGTGAAGGCAAAAAATACTTAAAGTGGACTTTAAAACATGTGTTAATGGCTCATTTACAACTAGAGTCTGCAAAACCTGTGAGTGGAAATCCAGTACCTGGGCCAGCCCATCTTCAAGACTCTAAAAACTGTGGTACAGATTGACTGGATGGATATTTTATTATAAAGTGTTTTGATAGGCATTAGATTTGTGTCAGCATTTATTCACCTTTATAGAGCAGACTAATTCTGTAGTTATTTAAATAAAGTTATAATTAGCAAAACGTCATGTATTCATATCTGATTTGACCATTTTCATGGTAAAAGCTACCCTCTTTTTACATTTTCTTCAAAGAAAATCCAAAGTAAAATTAAATTCAAATACTGATTTAGCCTTTCTTTAAGATGAAAGAACAGTGAAATCATGCTAACATTTAAAATATATTACACCAAAGGCAAAATTAGTCCTACAACAGTTGTTTTTGGAAGATCAATAGCAACAACTAAGATGCACCCTCTTGTATAAAGATCCATTTGATTTATATAACAGCTTGGAATAAGTAAATTAGACATAATATGCTATTACTTAGAAAATATTAAAAACAGAACGGCAGCTAAGATTATAAATGAGTCTATAATGGAGACTGTTTTTAAACCTGTAGGTTAAAAAGTGTTTGCAAAATCTTGAAATACATTTTAAAAACAAAGGTTTAAAAATTGTTTCAATACAAGTTAGGTCTGGTTAGTTTACATTCTCACAATCTATCAAGAGGCAGTGTGAACTCCAGTGAATATACAAGGCTGGGTTTGGCCAACTAACAGTAGCTCACCGTAGGGATGTAACGACAGGAGCTGACAGACTCGTTGACACCCATCCAGTGATGGAAGTCCGGATACTCTCCTCTCTTCAGGTAGTACTGGTTACCAGAGTAATTGGGTTTTTCATAGATCATGAAGCAACCACTCTCCACCTTGATTGAGTTGCAGCGGCTGAGTCGGCTTAACAAGTCCTCACAGTCATTACAGCACTCAAAATGGTGCCCAGAGAAGTTGTTGTCCTCATAGAAGATAATCTAAACATACAAATCATATATTTTTCAGTGTTTGCACTGCAAATATGTTCATTGGAAACAAATATTATCATATTTGCTTCAGTATTACGAGCATTTTCATGGTTTTAATGGACATCTCGATACACGTTGTGAACACTCAGGAAGCCTATTAGCATTTCGTACCCCACCTGCTTGTTTGCCCAAAACTGTCATTTTTACCTTCCCCATGTTGGCTGCTTCTCCTGCCCTGTGCCTAGTCTCTGTATGATCCATCCAGCTCTTTGAAGACTCAAACCTGTTACATATATAGTGAATGTGAAATGCAGACTCTGCACGTGTCATTCATATTGTAATGCCAGGAATCTTTGGCATTTGTGCCGTTGTGTTATCCTGAAGAGATGTTTGGGGATTATGTATGTACAGGTGAGCGCTGACTGGTCCAATGTCAACTCTGAATGGGTGCTGTTTGTTGTTGCACTGCTAAAATTTACCTCAGACTGAGGGTTTATGCTCCACCCACGTTCACCAAGATATCTTCTAAATGTTTACATTCATAAAAACCTCCAGTTGTTTTATTTGGAGCTACTCGATTAGAATATTTTTTCCCATGGTAGAAATGAGTCTGTCTGTGTTTTTGTCAACAGAATGATAGTTTGTGTTTTATGTAATTTTTATTCTACCACTGCCATCTGGTGGTGAGCTTTATTTCTGACCAAAATAGAAACAATGTTTACATTTTTACTGACAACCTTTCAAAATGCTTGTGTTAATTTGTAGGATATTTGCTCATGTCTAAACAAACACAAAGGTCCAATAGATAACACTTGAGCCTGGGTGAGAAAAGTGTTAGTGCTTGAATGATTTTATTCAATCCTCTTATGAGAGTTAGGATGTCAGGCCACAAGCCCAGCACATTCTCCTGGGGAAAGATGCCCTCTAGATGCAGAGAGCAAAAACAAAACTGAGTACACTTGAGCACTGATGCCATTTTATTCAGTGTGTAAAACAAGGCAAAGAGTAGACATTTCACAAGAACTGTCCTTCCGTCTTTATAAATCCATGAGACGTCGGATGGACCCAACCCTGGAGCTAATGGCGTTCCAGTTGCTGAAGCTCCTATAATGGCCAGGTGAGAGGTAGTAGTGGCGCCCCCTGTAGTGGTGTTGCTCATACATCAGCCAGTGGCCATCTATCACATTGCAGGAGTTGAAGTTGGAGAGGCGGAAACGGTCCATGAGATTAGGACAATCATCCATCAGTTCCATCATTCCGCCTTCCATGTCGAAATGCTCATACAGCCTCATCCTGAAGTTGCCACTGTGCTGCAGAGGTCAGGAAAGTCAAACGGTCACATTAGATTTGTTTTTTGTGAAATCTGTTCATGTGCATAGCTGTGAGTTAGATGATGCACCACATACCTAATAAAATATCTGCAATAAGCTGCTTAGCCTAGCTTAGCATAGATACTGGCACTAAAAGAAGAGAGTAAACACTGATGCCTGTTTCTAGGCCATTTCTACTCTACACCACTGGTAGGCATGGTACGTGTTAATTAATGTTAACATACCAGTACCACTATACTTTTTAAAAATGAAATATTAATATCAAGTATTATGTACTACAAGTATCACAAGTATCTGATAATGTAAACCAGTGCAATTAACAGACTGATTTTCACTCTAATACATCTTAACAATTTACCCAGCTTGCCACTGTCCATAAAACGGGAGAAAAAAGACAGTAACAAGCTAGCGTGTAGCTACTATGACTGACGAAAAGGATATATTACATCATGGTCCTCTACCCAGAAAACAAAAGTTCTCTGTTGGGATAGGATAGTTTATATTTTTTAAACAAAAAACACCTGAACACTCTGAACACAGATTGCTGTAGCAAAATTAGCCCATTTATTGGCTAATGCTACATGCTAAAAGTCAAGTATACAGTCTGCTGCTTGGCAGTTATGTTGGAGGACAAGCAAGCAAGCAAAATTTAAAACATTAGAATTAACAGAAGAGCACAAAAGCAGCACTTTATCAGCTTTGGAGCAGTCAGCAGTGACCTCTTTAGTTTAAGTGAAATCACCTTCATTTCTAATTTCAGAGTAGTTACTTTTTTAATCGAAAAAGAAAATCATTGAATAGTTTGTGTATGTTTTTCTGTGCGCTGAATCTATTATTGTAAGAGGTTAAGATGCAGTATGACACAGTGATGGTATTTTACTGAGGTTCTTACCGAGGGGATCATGCGACAAGATCTGACACAGTCATTCATACCGGTCATGCCCATGTAGTCAGAGTACTCTCCCCTCCTCATGAAGTATTGGTTTCCCGCGTAGCCCGGACGATCATAGATCATAAACATGCCACTTTCCACTCTAATGGAGCGGCAGTGGTCAAACATAGAGTGCAAGTTGGCACAGTCGCTCATGCACTCATAGTAACGGCCTCCAAAGTTCTTGTCCTCATAGAAGATGATCTGACCGAGGGACAGAAAAAGGCATGTAAGCTCATTTTTGATCTACAGATATCCATCATGTAAAACGACATACAAACCTTTCCCATAATGCCTGCTGTTGTTGGTCAAACTTCTTCCTGCGTTTTTAAATCCTAAAATTAGCTTCCATCTTTATATACAATACCCTTTTAGGAGCAGTTGGTGTTATTTAAATGAGGCGTGGTGTCAGCAGAAATATTACAAGAGTCTTCCCACTCCTGTTTGTCATGTCCTGTGTTCAGGTTAACAGATGCCATACAGCTTCCAGCAAGAGCTACAACATGTGCAGGCGCTGGAACAGTCACAGGTCTTTCAATCTTCATGTGTTTGCTTTAAATGGGCTGGATTCAGAGTATGAAGGGTGAGTCTTCATATATGCCTATAAAACGTTTCTTTTTGCTGGTGTGTGTTGATATTGATTTATAATTTTCTGTAGGAGTGAGACTGACTATTAGAAAAACTAAAAACCGTACTTCCAACAAACATTACACCAAAAATTAGCCCTTTTTTTAATCAGGAGAATTCAGAAAGTAAATAATTACCTTATTACAAAGAGTTAGAGACACTCGTGCCAGTGAGTGTGTTCTAAAACTCTCTGCTGCAATTTCACTAAATTTTATGCAGTAAAAATTAAGCAGAACAATGCCATGTTCATTTTAATTATATTAATGCCACATGGCAACCTCCTTATTGAATGTGCAAGTATGTCAAAATGAGATAAAGGCTCATTCTGGCACAGGAAACTATTAAGGTTTCAAATAAATGTGTCAATGTGTGGAATGTCCATATAATAAATGATGATACTTAAATGCTGGAAATGTTTCCACAAAATTTATGTGTCATTTCATGTGATGTTAGTTAAATCAGTCAGTAACAAAGAAAGCACAGAAAGTAGTTTAACAACAGCTCCATTTATTTAGGAAGTTATATCTTAATAATGCCAAGTCAATCGCTGAGACACGTTACCATTTTTATTTCGTTTTGTTTTTCTATAGCGATTCAATCCAGATTAGAACTCTGTGATTCTGCGGAAGGAGCCAGTGGTGGCGCAGGTGGCCCCCCAGTCACTGAACTTGCGGTACTCCCCGGGCTTCATGAAGTACTGCCTGCCACGGTAGTTTGGGTGCTCGTAGAGGGTCCAGTAGCCGTCCATGACATTGCAGGAATAGATGTCACGGCTCCGAAAATGATCCTGCACCGACTCGCAGTCCTCACTGAACTCCATCATCTGACCCTGGAAGTTGGGTCGCTCGTAGATGCGCATGCGGTAGGGCCCCTCGCTGGTCTGGATGAACATAGCAGTAAGGTAAAACACAAAATTAGAGTAGCATCAGTACCTCTGCAGCTCTGTATGGGTGTGTGTGTGTGAGGGGAAGATTTATTGGAAATTGACATAGCTCACTCTTAAAAAATAAATGTGTCTAAAAAAAAAAAAGTCAAAACCATTGGGGTTTTTTTTATTTTAAATTTGTAGGACTGCATTAATATATCAGCTAAATGTTGGCCTACATTGGCCTTGTTCAGTGATATCTGCATGTGAGCAAATAAAATTTCATTAAGTAATGTCAGAGGCTGGTATTTATTTGTCGTGCCACATCAAAAGAATAGTTAAACATAGACGTGCTTAAAATAAAAAATAATAATATACAGATAATACATGGAACCTGATTTAATACAGTTTTACAATGTGTCATAATTATGAGAAAACAGCAGCAACAACTTATTTGACATTTATAATTGACTTTTATTTACTTGTTTGCCAAACATTACCTTCTCCTACACCTAACCTTGAACTATTTCATGTAGATTCTTTACAGGGAAAGCACTTTTCAGCAACTAAATCTAAACTCTTATTAAAGTGCAACTTTAGTTGGAAGGAAAAAATATCTAATATTTTAATCATGTTATTTGGCTTGTGCACATAGAAAACAGTAAAAATCAGTGGTTTAATCATCTAAATAATGACATAAAACCACTTCTAAGTCAGAAAATGTAATTCTCAAATGACATTTTTCATAGTATTAACCCCACATAGTTTCCTGTTCACTCACATAGGAGAAGGTACGGCAGGAGCGGATAGTGTCGTTGTAGCCCATCCAGCGCTGGTAGTCTGGGTACTCGCCTCTGGTCAGAACATACTGGTAGCCAGTGTAGTTGGGCTTCTCATACAGCACCCAGCAACCACTTTCCACCTTGATAGAGTTGCAGCGGCTGAAGTGGGGGTGCATGTCAGGGCAGTCGGTGTCGCACTCATACGAGCGACCCTGGAAGTTTCTGTCCTCGTAGAATATGATCTAAAGCCAGGGGAGGAGGAGGAGGGTGGACAGAGGCAGTCACAGCCAAGTCTGGTGATGCTGTACTACAGATTTCAGTCGAGCCTGTATGTGTGATTCTGGTAGTGTTGATCATGTCATGGGTTGTTAAAGTCAGTTAAAGGCACTGTCAGTTTGTCGGTGTGTCTGGCAGTTTAGTTTTTAGAACCTAATCATTATTTGAGAAGCTGCAACACAACTTGTCAGCTTGAAGAAGCCCACTTCTAAACAAAATGAATCTCTCTTACCTTACTACTCATCCTGCAGTGTGCTGGAGCCAGTCACCTACAGAAAAATGGTGGTCTCACAAAGCGGCACCAGAGCCCCGCTATATAAACCTCAATCAAAGGGTTAGCAGATCCCACTTTAGCTGTTTTTTCAATGAGTGGGGATTTAACGTACTGGCATCGTTGCCAAGAGTCTTGATCCTGCGCATACAGCGAAAATCCCTGAATCATCAATGCAAAAGTCCTACCAGGCAAATTACTGACCCACTGTGCCCTCTTTATTGATATGGACATTAGAGACACATTTTATCCACTCATCAAGGAGATTAATCTTTGCTCGCAGAATGTCAGAGGTAATCACAAAATGAATCAGCCTCTATAAACATTTGCAGAAATTCCAAAAAAGAAAAATGTGGATTTGTGTGTTTTATTTGTATGAGGAAAATGGGACCAGGCACCTTCAGTGTAAAGTCAATATCAGTATCAAAGTGATATTTAGGTGCTTTTACTTTGTGTCACTTTGGAGTTTGTATTCAGGTACACTTATTTGACAGTTTTAGTAACTCTACAAACAATCTGATATGTAATTGTAAAGAGATACCAAATATCCAGTTTTTCTCTTACAATGGTAACGAATGCTTCTAAATATTATTGGGCATGGATTAGGACTGATTCTAAAAGTCAATCATTTGAGATTTTCTTACATTTCTATAACAATTCAATTGTATTTATATAGCCGCAACAACAGTTGCATCAGGGTAGTTTATACTGCAAGGTAACAAACCTACAATAATCATTTATCCACAAACTGATTCTCTAAATTAATAACATAACCCGAGGTAACAAAAATGATTTCATTGTTTTCATCAAAGACAAAACTGGAATGTTTAACAGGTTATAAGTGAATCTTGTCAAAAGCATAAAATTATATTGCTGTATGCTATGAGGAGTGCCTAGACTTGTACATGGGAGAAACCAAACAGCCACTCCACAAACGCATGCCACCTCGACGGGACAAGGCTCAGCTGTCCACAAAGGAGACTCTTTCGAAGATGACAATGTTAACATTTAGGACCAAGACAGATAGATTAAAAAAGGACTGAAACAGACCTCTATGTCTACTGTGAATGACCGTCATTGAACAGAGGCCTACGACACACTGTCTGCCACCTACAATCCAGTTTTGAGATCCCTTCCCAGGCGCCTCAACCCCAACTCATCAGGTGACTTCAATAGGTACATGAGAGGTTGAGGTTGTCACACAGGTGTCTCCCGAAACCTCTGTTGGTAATGACCCACACCGTTTTTTCACACCCTGGACCTTTTGATGACATACATGATCAATAGTGTTTCAACGACCCTTCACAGAATCGATCCTGAGGGTGGCTGTAGCTCAGGTGGTAGAACAGGTCACCTACTAACTAACTGGGAGGTTTGCGGTTTGATCCCAGTCTACATGCCAAATATCCTTGGGCAAGATACTAACCCCATGTTGCTCTCTGATGCATCCATCGGGGTATGTAGGAATGTTAGATAGTAAGCGCTTAGGGGGGAAAAGTACTGGTGTGACAAGTTGTGTAAAGCACTTTGAGTGCTCAGATAGAGTAGAAAATTGCTATATAAGGATCAGTCCATTTACCAATCCCTACTAGGGTTTAAATATCCGGGACTCTCCACATTTTGGTTTTAGAACTGAAGAAACCTCTTGGATGAGAAATAAAAACGTCTTCAAACAACTTAAAGAAGTCCAGTCCAGATAGATACCAGTGACAGGTTGAGCCAATTTAATTTTGATGAAAATTAGGTCAAGGTCATATCAAATATGAAAATCAGTAAACCCTGACCTTGTGTATGAGCTGTGTCTTTCTTGGTGAGGACAAGCCATTTTTAACTCCAAGAGTTGTATTTTTCCTGGGTAAATAATATATTTTTAAAAATCTCTGACTCCAGTGAGACCATCAGTAGTTTGAGTCATTGCACATCTCCAGCATCACCAAAGGCTGTTTGACCAAGAAGCATGGAGTTGTGCTTCAGGTCATCAGACCTCCATAATCGCATAAACTCCACCAACACAGTCTGGTATGGCACTTTGCGAGGAGTACAGAGTGAAGGAAACACATTAAAGCATGACATTGAATGTAGTAACAACTTATTCATATAATGCATTATCAAATAACACAGAGCCCAGTTGACAGAAAATACTTCTCTGTTTATGTCTCTTTTATTTCTGAGTACTTCAAGTGCATTTTTGAGTTTAAGTGACATTTTTAGTTGAGTACATTAACATTCAACTGAGCAGTTTTACCATTTCATGTTAGTATTATTGCTCTAGCTCAATGTCTCTACTTCTGGCAGCTGCTGGAGGTTGACGTCAGTTGTGCAGAGACTCTTGCGAGCCTTCATAGTGCTCAGTCCTTTCCTGGTGAACATCACTGCTTTCCTAAAAGTGAAGCAGAGCGTATGGGAGGTCTGTTTAGATCCACAGGGTGGCAGCAGAGGATTTTCAATGCAGACGTTGGAACAAGAAATTACTGTTCAAATATTTCCTTCTTGGCTTTGGCCATTTCAAAGCCTAGTCTTTTCTCTGAAATATTTCTGGACTGATGTTGAACATTTCAAAATTACTTCCTATCGCTTTTCCTAATCACTTTTCCTTAACTTAAACTGAAAATGCCATGAGGTCAGGGAAATGTGGGAATACTAAGAAAAAAAGAACCGCATTACCCAAACTGTATTTACAGGAGACTAAGAGGGCCTACAACAGTGGCACTGAGGACCACCTGACATGTAACAACTCAAGAAAGGTCTGATGAAGACTACAACAACAAAGGGAACATCTGCAACATCTGAATGGCAACACGGAGGAACTAAATTGTTTCTTCTTCCAATTTGAGGCCAAAAGATTTCATAGATTCACTCTGCAGGAACAGGATGTGCGTTCAGGTCAGTCAGCTCTAGAAATGCATAAAGTCAGCTACATTTACCTAACTGATTAAGAGGTGATTTGAGACACTGGTCCTGCATCATATCAAAACCAGCCTCTCTTCCACATTTAGCTCACATCAGTTTGCACACAAAGCTAACAGACCCACCGAAGAGGCCATCACCATCCACACAGCACTAAACCACCTGGAACACAGAGCTGGACAGCCTGTGGACATGCTAATCAGCATGCTACATGACTTGGCATCTCGATCCCCATCGGCACCAGGACCAAAGACTTCCTCACCAGCCGTTCACAGACAGTCAAACTAGGTCCTCACCTCTACTACTCCATCACTGCGTACCTGTCCGCTCCTATAACACCATAATTAAATTAGACACAACCATCATTAAGCTTATCACAAGAAATGAGTCAGCATACAGAGAAGAGCTATGAAGACTATCTGAGTGATTCTTGGTGAATAACCAGAGACTCATCACCACAAAGACAACTGCATTATTAGTGGAGGAAATATGACACAGTTCTGCCCCTCTCTGTATAAATGGAGCACACGTAGGAAGGGTGCAGACATCCTGGGGGTTTCATATACGAGGACCTCTCCTGGTCGGCCAACACCACTGCAACTTCCAAAAGAAAGTGCAGGAATGAGCGATAAGAACTGCACAGAAAAGAACTGACTGCTCGTTTCTGGAGGAGAGTGCCATATCACGCTACCTCAGCACAAATACCAAAATTGTCCAGGACTTCACTCACCCGGGCCATCATCTATGGCAGGTGTTTTAGGCCAAGACTCACACGTCCAGATTTAGCAAAAGGTTGTTTCAGCAGGCGGTGCGGATGTTAAATAAGAAAAAAACCTAAAAGGTGTGATTTTATTTATTCTACGTGCTACCGTCTCGTGTTTTAGTCAACATCTTGTCTTATACCATGGCACCATAGAGTATTATTTTAATTTGGCTCTATGTACAATAAAGGCAGTCTTTAATAATCTGCTTGATGTCAGATTATTAAATATCGAGGCGTGTCTGATGTGCTGAAGCTACTGTCTCCTGAAGATGCAACCTTCACTTTACTTTCATCATTGAAATAAAGCTGCTTGTCTTTATTTGTAATTGGGGGGGAGGTGGGGGGTTGCACACAACGAGACTTAGTAAGCAGCAGGTGTTAATAAAACAGAGTATGCAGCTGAGTTTAGCAAGTGGTTAAAAGTTTAAAACATATCTGCATGTTGTATATGGTATATGATGGGAAACACAGGAGCCATTTACATGATTTGTACTGACTACTGAAGTATTTTTCCTTGGTATTTAGAGATCTTTTAGAGTTCTTATTTTGCCTACCACACATATGGTGATTGCTCAGATACGGTACTCACACTGATGAAGGACTGAGATGAAGTGGAAAACGAAGATGAAACTTGCTTCGGTGGAGCACTTGCCTTTGTCTGCCCAGACAGCCATCGTTTCAGCTTCTGATCTGCAAGAGTTTCGTTTTGGGGTTTTCAAAAAACAAAACAAAAAACAGTCCTTCAGAATATTAATGGCTCAGTCACACTAGATTGAAAAACCTCCCAGGATGATTGGAATGAATTTTCTTTCACATTTAGCATTTGAAGCAACCAACTGGTTTGAGACCATTTTTGCTCACTGGTCACCTGGTAGGAGCAAACCTGCCTCCCAGCAAATAACTGCTGTCAATTGCAGTCAGCCTGAGTCTGCAGAATAGCTTTACTCAGTCACTACTGAACTGAAGTACATGTTTGAGTGCTTCTGTTTTGTATTCCTTATATTTCTACTTGGCTCAAAAATCAAACATTCTGCAAACTGATAAATACTTTTAAAGAATAACGTTTGGCAAAAGAGCACTTTTTGCAAAAAATCAAAGAAAAAACAAAACAGAAGTCATAAAAGTTCATGCAGACAGAATAGTACATTGTTGATGATGTTGTCTATATTGTTTAAAGAAACAAAACACAGATCAAAGAAGATTAAAACTCAAAAGAAGGAAAAGTTCTTGCTTTTGATTTTTTTGTTTTGTTTTTTTACTTAAAGTTTCCCAGGAAACTCAAGATAAATACTGCTGAGTACACTACTAAGAGGTCAGAGAGGTTTTGCTATACTCATTTATCTGTTGAGGAGTGTGTCTCCAGAAAGAGTAAAAAAAAGAAAAGAAAATCTTATTTTAAGTTGCTTATATTTTATATGTACTCATAAAATCAAAAATATTCTTGCCAAGCACCAGACGCACTCCGTTTTGAGACTTGTTTCAAGTATAGACTGTATTAAAGTTGCCAGCAACTCGCGCCCGCTTTGGTTGTACAAAGCAGTTTAATTGTATAGAAATCTATTTGATTCCCATTTGAGAAACAATTTGTATCTTTATTCTCTTGTCACTACCATAAAGGCTAAACCAGACAACACACACTTACTGTGTTTCTTGGAGTGGTACACGGCCTTGTAGGATCCAAGTATTGCAAACGGATGATAGGACAGAGTGATGGGATAGACAATTGAGCCCTTGGGTTAAGAAAAAGAAAAAGGAATGAAATGTTTTTAGGCAAAATTATGTTTCAAAAAGGATAAAACAGTTGCAGCCACTTTCCTAACTAGGACACTTTTGTACCTTGGACTTCTGGTTGGGGTATGAAGCGGCTGGTTTACACCTGTACAGAGTCAAGATTTCCTCCACTGGCAGGCTACTCTAAACAGAAACACACAACAGTTAAAATAAGCAGTTTAGGCATTAAGTACTCTCAGGAAGGTTTTCGAGAGTTTACCTTCAGCTTTTAGATTTATTAAAAGTTGCATTTACATGTAAATATCCTTACCATAATAATCCCAGCAAAGGATGACAAGATCATAGCCTCCCGCTCTAAGCGATTAGGATACTGGGCACTTCCTAAACTGCATGTTGCTCCACTGTGGTGCAGGAGGAAGGTGATGAAAGGCAACCAATCCACCAACTGACTCTATTCATTTGCCTTTGTAAAAGCACTGTACGGCATCATGTCTTATTACAGCTGCTTTTACCAAAGTTTTGTTTATTTTTCTACTTGTTATTTAATTTTTACTAAATTTTGTGAGCATAATAAACATAATTCAGGATTATCAATGATAGAACGTTTAACTTTAAAAAACAGAAAACGTACATGATCTCTCTGTCGAGCACATGTCGTCCTTCCTTCTTCTCCAGCCACCAAAGGGCAACACTGATTGCAAGATCATAGTGAGCCTACAACATGTCACACAGAAGTTGCCAGCTCTACTTAGTTATACATTAAAACATTATTTTAGCATTGGTTGCTTCTGCTGAGTTTTTACCAAGTCATCCAGCGCTGTGAAAGTTCCCTTGCCCTTCGGATCAAAGGCGTCTTCCCTAAGTTTCTGTCCAATGTAGTTGTCTCTGTTTGGGAACAGGAGAAAATGAACCAGTTGCCAGTTTACTTACCGACTGCACGGTATGCTTTGTAACATTTTAGCATCCACTCACATAAGGGCCTCAACATCTCTTTTGAGCTTGTTTGCCTCCATTTTCTGAATGAAATCCTTTCATCTAGGACTCCTGCAGAGAAATCAACACATGTAGAGTCCACAGTATATCTTCTACATCTTAACTAGTCACCTCAGTTTTGTGCAATTTGTTGTTTTATTCATTTTTGAATGATAAAAGTATAATTTTCCTAACAACATGTAACCTAACTGAATGTGAAACCATGCTTTTAATGTTTCAGTTAACATATTCAGACCCTTTGATGTGCCTCCTGTTCATTTTTATTGAATTCTCCAGTCACTGGGAGACTTCATAGAGATGGGCATCTGGCCAGTTTGAGCAGAAATAGTGCACACCAGGGAAAGGACCAACTTACCAGGAACCAATCCTCGATAAACAGAAGACTGTGCAAGAAAGTTATAGAATTCGATGTTGCATGCATGATGGCTTCTCTATGTGTGCGGCTGCTGAGTTCTACACCTGCAGGTTATTGAATTTATACACAAAGAATGTAATTGATTGAGTGGCAATGAATATCTGCTCCCATGAAATGAAATTATTTGCTCCTGGCTGCGTTTTTTCTCACCTGCAGTTTTTGACATGAATATAATTCCTTAACAGGGTACCGTATCAGCATTTGTGTTTGTCAGAAAGCTCTGAAAGGCCTCTGTGAGCACATGGAAAAGGATTACAAAAAATATAAACTCTTTGCACTAATAAACTAGAGGCAGTGTGTGTGCTGATACCATCCTTAGAGTGAAGCAAGGTAGTGGTAGTATAACGCCAATGCTTTAAACCAGGGGTGTGTAACTCCAGGCCTCGAGGGCTGGTTTCCTGCAGCTTTTAGATAGCACCCTGGGTCAACACACCAGTCTCTGCATTGGTTAAGTTCCCAGAATGATCTATGCAAACAGGCAACACAAGACCAAAACGCAAAGTGGCTTCCAAAAATTTCTCAACTAAAGGTCTAAATACCTTTATAAATTAGATATTTTAGTTGTTGATTTTTAATACATTTGCAACATTTTGTTATTAACGATTAGTATGCAAAAACTGACGTGGGACAAATAGCCATTTCAATCCTTTAAAATTAATACCAAAACATACTTTAGTGGAACAAAGCAAGTAGATGTGAATTCTATCAAATGAGATTGGATAGTTTATCTCTTAATCCAGTGGTCCCCAAGGAAAGGCTTAATCTCAGACAGTATTTCCACGGACCGGCCTTAAAGGTGTCGCAGACAAATACAACAAAATAAAATGTTATGACCAAACAAAAACTGTGGTATTTTGTAAATATAATGATAAACGCGAGTTCACTGTGTCACTTTATTATCAGCTTCCCCCTGAGATGGGCCAACTCTCAATGTTGTTGGCGCATTTCAGGAGGAGCATTTCCTCTCTGCCCCATAATGGTCTCTAGTCGCTATGGTAACGTGTAAACATTTCTTTCAGAATAATACACACAACTACACGGGTAAAGAACCAGGGAAACCGAGCTAACGATAAAAAAACCACGAAAACCATAAATATCACAGCCTCAACTCTCGCGGCCCAGTACCAAACGACTCATGGACCGGTACCGGTCCGTGGCCCGGGTGGTGGAGACCGCTGTCTTAATCTATCAGGGTGGCAATGAGCTTGCATCAGGCAGTTCACTTAAAATACAGGATTGATTAACTGATGATCTCACAGACAACCTGACACCCTTACTGGGCTCACTTCCTCTCTAATCAATGATTTCCGAATCCAAACTAGAATTCCTTTTCCCCGTGTAGCACATTTTAGATAAAGACAAAGAACAAACAGCAACACATTAAACACATGCACGTGTTTTCAAGAAAGATACTCACTCAACTGGTCAAAAGGAGATTACAGTACTTCACCTGACACGATCATACAAAATCCTAAACATAGACGACTGCAGTCATGCGACACTGAATCCTTTAACCTTTCTAGGTGGGACACAAGCTTTTAACATCAACGTCCAGCAGACTTCTCAGATGAACAGCATGGCCTGAATAATTTACAACAGACCTGTCAGTCTGATCATTACCAAACCAGACATCCCAAGGAAACAAGTGAAGCAGGGTAGGTAGAAACACAGAGAGCAGTGACGTGCATAAATGTGCCTATTGCAATCAATATAGGAGCAAGGGGAGAAAAACAACATAATAGCATATTGTAACTTTGGTACAAGGCTAAATTAGTACTTACACAAATGTATGTATGTACAAGGAGGAAAATATCAGAATACTACAAACCAGTACTGAAGTAGGACCTGGCATCCAGATATGTGGACATCACATTTTGGGTTGTCTAGACCAAAATACAAAATTTTGCTCTACAAGGGCCTGATATCCACTTGCGAGGACAGTATACTGCCACTGCTCTATCGAAATTTAAAACGGATGTCCTCATATGTGGATCTCATTTTTCTCAGAACCAAAAATCTGGTTTAAAAAAATCTGGTAATTATTTGTTTCTACATTCATCAGGTCCCAATCAGCCCAAATAGCAAAGAGAAATTAAAAATGCATGCTGGGGAAGAGTTCAGGTCTTAGGAGGTTAAGGAAACCGCAGCATTTTAGCAATGTAGTGACTGAGGTAAACCTTATTGTCTCTGCCAAGTAGGTTATGCGTGCATGTCATCATTCTGTCTGTAAACATGATAGATCAAGAAGTTTTGAATGAATTCTAATAAAACTTTATAGGAGTGTAGATCATGTTAACAATCCATTAAAATCTGTCAAGTTAATGACTCAGCTGTTGTCATAAACAAAGCCTTGTAACTTTGTACTTGTGTTAAACATTCTCAACACAAGTACTGTAAAAGGATTCAAACTATTATTTCATATTTGATCCCCGACCTCTCCTTCAAGGTCACTCGACTGTTCTGAATGTCAACGATAGCAAAGAGCTATTTATCAAAACAATGTTTCTTACTGCTGTTGTTTGTATTACCAACATACAGCAATGATACATGGTGATTCTAAATATCAGATTACTTTATTATGACTTTGACTGTCGATTACAGTAACAGGTTCTAATTATTTGAACATTTAACAATATGACAATGTCCCTGAGGTATATATTTTTTCCTTTTTGATGCCAGTTTGACATTACTAAAAATTACACAAATTTTACTAAATGCTATACATGTGATATATGTGCATAAACAAAAAACCCAAATCCCTAACAGTCCATCAACTGAGCTGTGCTAGCATTAAAGGTAAGATATACATTTTAAACCAGATTTGGGAAATTCTCTTTACAGAAGTTAACAATAATGACTATAATAGTTTTTTAGTGACACTTTGTCTTGTTGAGTGTCAGCAGAACACAGCTTGAAGAAAAGACTCAAGAACAAATACTTCAAATTTCTACTTTAATGTGAAATGTAAAGCACTTAAAGACACACAATACTTTCTGGTCGAATCTGTAGAAAAATGATTTTAGCAAACAACTTTAATAAGAAAACAGCTTAAAATCACTTTTAAAAACAGTAAAATGGAAAAAAGACAAATTATCATTTGGCAGTCGTCGTCATCTTCTTCTTCTTCTTCCGGCCATCCTTAAACACAGGAGAACTCAGGAATGTGGTGTCAGTGAATTTATCTCCACGCCTTATTTTGCTGATAGAAAACATAAATGAGGTTAATACTGTGCTGTTCTGGGTTTTCGCAGGGCCACAGATTTTAGACAGAAACATCCTCACCTGTTGAGAGGCGGCTCCTTGTAACTCACGGCACCCTTCCCAGGTCTCCGTCTCCTGCTTCTCTCTCCATTTTCACAGTCTGGTGTTGTCAAAGTGTTGGTTACTGTCGATAAGACTCTGCCTGCGGGGACAAACAGGTACTGCTAAGCACAGCATCATAGCATGCTGCATGCATATTACTCTGTGCTTTGCTTCTCAGCTACCCTCTACATTTACTCATACTGCATTAGGGCTGTTCGATATAACGATATATATCGGATGACGATATAAAAACATCTATCGTTTCATTTTACACTATCGTTCGTTTTGTGGTGTCGCAAAATAAACTGTTTACGGCAATATTTTTTCATGGATTTGATGGTCACTGTAGTGGCTATATTCATTTGTTAAAGTTCTCTCTTTCTCGTATATTTTATATAACCACACTACGGACGGACAAGAGCCTGTGTTTATGCGTTGTCGTTAGCAACAACGACGGTAAAACCATCGCGTGTCCGCTTGTTTATTTTCCACATAAACCTTTCACAATAAAGCTCAAGATCCTGTTGAGACTTTTCAAAATAAACTGGATCACGTGAAAGAGTATGCAGAGTGTTTACGGATGAGAAGCAAAAAAGAGCCGTCAGGTGCTAAAAAATAAACCTTAGACTCAAACGTTAGAACAGGCTTTTCCCCGCTGCACGCCGTGTAATAAATACTCACAAAGAAAATGGCGGCCGTTACAACTTATGTCTAAAAATGTATAGTTTCATACATCGGTTAAAACACTCGACTCCAGGTACGCGACGCCCAGCTGGAAACACTTCACGCAAGTCGAGCTGCCCGAGATTCACAGAATTTACAGAAAATGTTACATTTTTGTGATTTATATCGTTATTGGGACGATAGATGGATATGAGGATATGAGATTTTGATCATATCGCACAGCCCTATACTGCATTATGATAGCCAAATTCACAATCTGCCCTTATGTATATACTTTTCTGTTCAGATAAATGTTTTGGGGACATTTGCCACAAACATTAATGTCTTAAAGTGACAGGGTATTGAACCTTTGACCTTTGTCTGCTATGACCTCAGTGATAAACAAAGTACAATTATTACCCATCTGTCACAAATGAAAGCTAAAAATGTACAAACTCAGTAACATAAGAGCTGATGACAGAGCTGTGCTTGCATTAGACTGCACTGCTGTAAATAAAGACTGTTCCACACCTGGAGAGGCTTCAGCCGTTCCAATTGTCGCGAGCCTGCCTGGTGTTTCCCTGCTTGGAGTGGCGGGTAGAAAGTCCACATCGAAGTGAGCTGTGCTGTTATCCACGTCCAGCCAGGGCGGCAGCTCATCCATCAGCAGGTCGCCCACATTCTGATGAACTGCCTGGTCGCTGGTGTCCACCGTGTGACTGCAGGTGTCCAATGCATTCGACATCCTGGTGATGTTTTCAGAACTACATCCACTTCTGTTCTTAGTTTTTCGTCTGTAGACAACAAAAGTCTTCCTGGGATATCTGGTTTCCGTGGCTGTGTTCAGCATGAATACATTTCTAGATGATGTGGGACTCGAATCCCTCCTGGACTGCGAATCATTCAGATGTTCAAAGATTTCATGCTTTTCGCTGATGACAGACTGTGAGTCGAGCATTTGTAAATCATGTAATTGATCTTTAGCAATTTCAGAATCAAGGCAGAGAGCGGAGGCGTCTCTAGGGTCAGGAAGATAACATGTTTCACTCTCAGATCTTAAGTCTTTGTTGTCTTTTTTCTTCGTCTTGTCATCTAACAAGTCATCACCCTCTTCTCGCTGCACCACTTTGTTCCTGCTGGGCTGCCCTGTTTTGTCTCTCCTGGATTTTTTAGGTTTTTGAAACTGTGATCCTAAAGCCGCCTGCCAGTCCAGTGGCAGTGCTTCACCACTGTCACCGCTACTTGAGTCTTCTTGACAGTTCCCAGAGTCCTGAGTGGCCACCCAGGATCGCTTCCCAGAGCGCCGAGTCTTTGAACGATTGCTTGATTCTAAACGTCCAACAACGCTTTTCCTCATGACTGCTTCTTCTGCCTGAAAGCTGGATCCTGTAGGAGGCGCCACATCATGCTCTGGTGAGTCACTGTCGCCGGTTATTGAGATAACAAATGTCTCCCTGCATCTTGATTTGTGACCTCCCCTAGAATTAGTCACAGTATTAGTTTTGCTAAAGGACAGACGCTCCGCATGCTCTGACTCTGGTTGTGCACAAAGCAGAGCGTCCTCAGAGACTTGAGACTGTAAGCTTTCGTCTCCCACTTTAGGTTTTTGGACTTTCTCCTGGTGGGATTGGCTGCCCTCACTTTCACCAGACGGCACAGTGAATAAACTTTTCCTGGTTACTGAAGAGGCCCACTTTCCTTTAGCTCTGGACTTCCTGCATGTTATTTTGGAACTTGTTTCTTCAGCCACACTTCTGCTGGTGCTTGAAAACCTAATTTTAGGATCAGAGAAGTAATCTTCCACATCCATTTGGTCTACATTTGAGATGTTAGTGCGGTCAGAAGATTTGACTTTATCCTTTGATACTTTCTGATGCTTGCCCAGTTTAGGAATGCGAGTGACAGTGGCAGTACTTTGATCCTTCAGCGGCTTTTTATGTGCTTGTAACAAAGATGCAGACTTCTGCACTTCTATACTTGAGCTGCAGCTTTGCTCCTTGTCCTTTCTGCCAGAGCTGACTTTTTTTTTCGCTTTGGTTTCCACAGTGACTATCTCAGTGGCTTCACTTAAGGTCATCTCCATGGTTGCATTGAGCAAAACTGTTTTCTCTTGATTTCTGCCAAGCTGTGTTTCACTTTCCATGGTGGAGACACTGGGAAGATTCTGATCTCCAGAAATGGATGGTGTGGATTTTTCACAAATCTGACTGTTCTGAACAGAGACGACGGAATGAATATCAGCCTGGGACTGAGAGGGATTCTCCACATCTTCCCTCGGAGTATTGGCCATGCCAGACGCTTCTATGTGGGCAGCCTGTGCACACTGGGTGGACAGCCTTTTTTCAGCTTCTGTGTTATCTGCACAAAAAGCAGAGTACATCAGCATTTCACATCATCAACATTTTACAGTTAACACTAAAACTTTCAATGCTTAAATCACGCCTACCGTTGCAAACATCAGTCGACTTTTCACACGTATTCGGAAAAGTGGAGACGTCCTCGTTGATGGTTTTTTCAAGCAGGGCAGATGTTGTGATTTTGCTGGTACACCACAAATTCCTTGAAACATCTGTCTGCAGCGGTAACTGACTAAAATGGGACAAAAAGGCAAGATATTAAAAAATATATATAATTTTTTTTCTTTTCTTTCAACTCACTAGTGAATGCAGGTGCCACCCCTCAGCCTCCTAGCAGACTCAAACTTGTCTGAGATTTTTAGGAGATGCATCTGTGGAATCAACTGTGAAATCCTACATTGCATTCACAAGCTTGGGTCCACCTGACAGGGCGATGACAACACTCCATCAGCTCTTTTGCAGCTGAGGGGTAAAAAAAGTTTCACACTCTGGTTTAGTGACAGCAGTCTGACACTGTTATTTTTATTATTATTATCATCGTTTCTCACAGCTTCTCTCCACACTGTTAATGGAAGTAGTAGAGCAACTTTTCACAGTGCATCAGGTAACATATATTGAGATGTCTTGCAGCTATATTTTGGAGGACCCTATGCAACTATAAGAATGTCTCCCAAACTTGACAAATATTACCGTAACCTACAGTATACAGTAGGTTAGCATAAACAGAACGTGTGATAATCCACTTGTCACTTGTTGTTATAGAGCAAGATCTCGCTCTATGTCGAGGCTAAGGTATTTTAAGTAAATGCTAAATTGACCACTGTTAGGCCGTGTGCATGCGCAAACATTTCTGTCACTGAAAACAGAATTTTACAGTCAAGACCTAAAGTATTTGGACAATGACACACTTTGCACAGGCTCAAAAGTAATTTGACAAGCTACCAATTATAAGATTGCTTTTAATACTCAAATTTGTTGAAAATCCTTTTTAGTTAATGACCGCATAAAGTCTAGAACTGGCAGACATCACCAAATGCTGTGTTTCCTTTTTGGAGTTGAAAAGTTAAATGCTCCATATTCCTCAAGCAAAATGAAGGTAGCACATAGCTCACACGTTTGATCTAAACGCAAACTCAATGGCATGACGCTGCAGGATGCTGTGGTAGCCGTGCTGTTTCAGTGTGGCTTCAGTTTTGAATGAATCCCTAACAGTGTCACCAGCAAAGCACCATCACACCTCCTCCTCTATGCTTCACAGTGGGAACCATGAATGTAAAGAACATCCATTCATCTTTTCTGCACAAAGACACGGGTGGAACCAAAGATCTCACATTTGGACTCATCAGACCAAAGCACAGATATCCACTGGTCTAATGTCCATTCCTTGTGTTTCTTGGCCCAAACAAATCTGTTCTGCTTGTTGCTTTTCCTTAGTTGTGGTTTCTTAGCAGCTGTTTGACCATAAAGGCCTGATTCACACAGTCTCCTCTGAACAGCTGATGTAGAGATGTGTCTTCTACTGCAACTCTGTGTGGCATCTATCTGGGCTCTAATCCAAGGTTCAACACAACTTCTACACAACACAACTGATGGTCCCAACCTCATTAAGAATCAACTCTGACAGGCACACCTGTGAGGTGAAACCATTTCAGGTGACTACATAATGAAGCGCACTGAGAGAAGGCCGAGGGTTTGCAGCGCTGTCAACAAAGCAAAGGGTGTCTACTTTGAGGAATCTAAAAACTAAGACATATTTAGATGTTTTTTTAAGATTTTTTGCTAAATAATTCCACATATCTTGCTTGGTATATTTGATGTCTTCAGTTTTTATCTACAATATTATTTTTACTACAAAAAGTAGTAAAAATAAAGACAAACCATTAAATGAGGTAGTGTATAACACTAAAATGGGTCTTAAAGTGTGAAAAATAAAACCCTGGTTTTTCCCCTTGTACCATTAAGGCCATTCTCCCAACACTTAATCTCGATTTAACGGGTGGGTTGAGGCTGATACTTTTTCACATAAATCGGGGTGGGTTTGGATAGTTTCCCTGAATAAATCATCATTTAGAAACTGCATTTTTTATTTACTTTGCCCAACATTAAAATTTGTTTGATGACCTGAAAAATGTTTTTTTGGTTTTTTATTTTTGCAAATATGCAAAAAACAGGGAGGGGCAAATACGTTCTCACAGCACTGTGTAAGAAAAGCAACTGAAGCTGTCAGTAAGATATAAACATTGTATTCTTGTCCGTGTCTATTCAATAATGTGCTGTTTTTAAAAGTGATAAATGTTACTAAGTCTGTCATTGACTTTTATGGAAACATGACCAGGCTACACATTCTGACACACTTAGGTGGCGTCACTGAAGTGACCTTAATAAAAAAGGAGTGCAAGTCTGAAAAGTGTAAAAGAAATGTCAATGCCATTCAGAGATGCCTAAGCTAAATCAGTGGTTCTCATTGCAAAGAGCCGATCACTGTGAACTCAGTTCATTTCTGACCTTCCAGCTGCAAGATTTTCCCTTCTGATGTCACCAGACGAGATCCGGGAATCTCCTGAAAGTCTCTGAGAATCCTGTGAGAAGCAAATGTTAGTATGGTTTGATATTGCAATGCATTTTCTTCTACTTTTGTTCAAACTTAAGTGGCTTTCCGTCTAAACTTTTCCTAGGATCCAAGAAATGTTCACACAGGAAGCGATTCACTTGTACCGCATCATTTCATAGCTGACAGTTGGTCACTCGTTGACATTCCAGGCTTAGTTGTCTAGATAATCCTCCAATGCAATTACCAATCAATCTTAAAGTCTCATTGTGAAATTAAGTATAGTTCAAGTTGGGACCCAAACACTGCACACCAGCAGCAGTTATTTCATGCTGTTTCTGAATGTCACCGACTGTCTATGGTCTCCAGTTGCCAAGTCACTGCTAATCTTTTCCTTGGTGCATCGTTAACCCCTCAGAGGATGAGTGTTTGACTGCCAGCGCTACAGTACAGAGTGTGTGTGATGCTAAATTGCAGAAGTGCAGCCAATATTTCATTACAATCACTGCAAGCCGGCACACATCATGCGCAGCTTCTTACACATCTGAAGTAGCTATGGGAAACTTTTAGAGCCCGACCGATATATCAGCCAATATTAGCAATCTGTTGATAATCATTTTCATTTATCTGCTGATAAATTAAAATGTATAATAACCGTTCAACCAGTTATCAGTAGTGACACTGAATAGTTTGTCCGTCAGCGGTCAGGCAGAACTCAAACAAGTAATCCACGACTTGTTGTGCATACTATCGTCATAAGGACTCATAATTAGCTACAAAGGATCAGTTTAGGGAAATTTGTTTTCTGTGCCTGAAATTAAAAAACAAATATGGATTTTTAAATAATCAAATAGCAGTATCATTACATGTCTTTCAAATCCTGTATTGGTGAGGCTCTAAAAAAAAATCATCTGTCAGCTGACAAGTTGTAAAGATTAAAGATAAGTTGTAGAGTTGTAGAAGTTAAGAGTTTGTCAGCCTTGAACAGTTCTGAAGTTATGTGCATCAGTAGGAAACCCTGCATTGTGCCAGTTTTAAGTACATTTTTCAGCAGCGCTCACCAAAATGTCACAAATATGTCAATATGCCGCAGAAACTGTAAATATGTATTGAATGAAATCCTTACGCTGTCAGAGAACAGGTCTGCCACCATGTCCAGGTGCTGCAAAGCATTACTACGGAAGTTGTTCAAGATAAGGAGCTGCAAGAGGAAAACAAGACGCTCTGCAGTCAATGCAATCAATCCAGCGGAGCATCGCTGCACTCTTCTTTGCATCATGACCAGTAACTGTCTACTCAGAATTTTAGTGCTGTAGAAGAACACAAGCAAACGACAAACGCACCAGTTTTCTGTGCTTGTATTTCTTGGTGGCTAATTCAAAGCAGAGAGCGTCCACTTGTTTCTGCAGGTACATGACCTCCATCTCCAGCTGGCTGCTTCTCCTCCTCTGAGCTTGCAAGGCCAGAGCTAAGGCTTTGTTGTTGGTCTTCAAAGAGACCTTGAAGAAGGACGAGGTATCTGGTGCGGAAACACGACAGTATTTGTGTTTGGCATTTACATGAACTCTTCTTTCAGCAAATTTCTGAGATCCAAAAAAAGCAAACAGACTCACTGAGAAGCTTATTTTTTATCTTGGATGCTGCAGTTGAAGTCTGCTTGGTAGCCTTCGAGGCCATCATAGTCTTCAAAGAAAACATTATCAGATGAACAGGAAGACTCGATCAAAAACCTGAAAAAGATACACACGTTAGTCATTGTACACAATAATTAAGAACACCCAGCAGCATGCATGTGTTTGTCTTTCCTGTGATGCTGTCAAGTCACCAGAAACTGTATTTAAAAGATGGACATAGACATGCTGGCATCATCCACTGCTTAGTCAAGTCCTGATGTGAAGCATCAGCCTGATCATCTTGGTATTTTCAAATCGGACATGACAGTGGATCTATGGAGGGAAATTAGGCTACGTTCACACTGCAGGTCTTAATGCTCAATTCCGATTTTTTGATCAAATCTGATTTTTTTGTCTGCTTGTTCACACTACAAATAAAATGTGACAGCAAACGCGCTCTAGTGTGAACGCTCAAAGCAGCCCGCATGCACAAAAGAAGACGTCACACACAACGCGCTCTGTTTAGACCCAGAGCAAACAGGATTGTTTGACTGATGGACCTTATATAAAGACGTGTTTCAGACTTTACGTTTCCCAATTTAGCTTTAAGTTGTAAAGTTATTTTGTTATTTACATAATAATGTAAATAACCTAATAATTATCCTTATTGCTGTTTTAGAGGAGCGGTGCTTCAAAGGATGCAGATTTCTGTCAGAATCTGCAGATTATACAGTATAAATAAAATGTTCACATTTCTCCAACGTTGTCTTCCCAACAGTTTCACTGGTTGGCCAGGAAGCGTTCGAGAGGGCGCTGATAATTGGCATCTGTCTTGTGTCAGTGACATAAAAGACGGATTTAATGCGACATGACCGTTCAAACAGCAGTCGCTTTCTAAAACATCAGATATGTATCGGACTCAGTACCACATACGAAAGTGACCCAGGTCGGATTTGAAAATATCGGATTTGTGCTGTTCACACTGTCAAACCATGATCGGATATGGGTCGCACAGGATCAAAAAAGTCGGAATTGATGCGCTTTCGCCTGCAGTGTGAACATAGCCTTAGTCTCAAAAGTGTTACAGCCATGTAAGATATGATCCACAAGCATAAACACAGATTTGTGTGTAACTTTGAGTACCCACAAATCCCACACACAAATACAGAGCAACTTGAACGCACAAAACTATTGTACAAACGCATGTATCAAACCCTGAATAAACAGTGACCATTTATGCACACATTTTCAAGTTCAACTTATCAAAACTGATTGTTTTTGTTTACTACAAATATTTGCAATGTTCATTTCCTTTGCTTACAGATCGCTAAATACACGTGCAAGAAACACCTGATGTGTACAAGTCACGCTGCATGTGCATGTGGAGTTTTGAGACACATTTCACACTGCCAGCTTGCACGTCCAAAAGTGAAAGCTGGATTCAAGTGCTATTGGAAAACTGGGACATCTGGGCTTCCAGCGGATTCTTGTTGTTTCAAATAAAACACATATTTATTTCTAAATAAGCAAAACAGTTCATTACCACTCATCCACTTTACCAATTTACCAGTTAAATGTGCCATACGTTAGCATGTATGGCATATGTCTTAACTAACCTATCGCCACTTAGTGGACAATCTTCTGCTGGGAAAAGGGTCAGAGCACAGCTGAAGATGGGAGAGCACCCTGGTTGAACATTCCTGTGGCTCATCCTCTGAAGTGAATATGTGCTAGCTAAGTTGTTGTATATTTTGAATATAGAAATGATCCCAGTGATGTGAGATAACACTTTCATATTCATCCAATCATTCCTCGATAACAGCAGATTAATATTAACATTATCTGAATGCGTAATAAACAGTCGATCATTGTTATCAAATCAGCTGTATCAGCAATACAGTTTGAAGAGTATGTCTGCTGTTCCTAAACTAACACCATTTTGTCAGAATGATTTCCCATCGGAAGATTATTCACTAAGGTGTGACAGCTTATTATATACTACTGCATGGCATATTTAATTGATAAATGTATCATTTGTAGTAAAGAAGTGATGAACTCCTCTGTTTGTTTAGAAATAAACACCCATTTTATTTATTTATTTATTAAACACAGGGAACCCACAGGTCCCAGTTTTCCAGCAGCACTTAAATGCAGTTTATATTTGTGGATCTGTGGGAAGCTGGCAGTATGAAGATCCTCAGAATTTCACATGCACATGCAAAGTGATGTTCTATGTGTATCATGCAATATGTGCATTCATATTTTTGTGAGCAAAAATCCCAAAGCAAATAACTTTAGGCATTTTACATGCAGGGAGTTTTCCGAAAGAGAAAATGATTAGATTTGTGGAGCTAAACTTAAATATGTGTGCGTAAATATCACTCAGGTTTTGCATTTGTAAAATAGTTTTCTGTGTGTTCACACTGCCCTACATTTGTGTGTGGATTGGACCATTTTTTGTGAGTATTCAGAATTACAACCAAATCTTTACAGACATTTGTAACTTAATGCATGCTTGCCAATCATATCACATACATTTGTCAACCTTTTGAGACTAATTTCACACAATATTGCTCTGAGAAACTAACATTGGTTTTGATAGGTTATTGGCTAAAAGTTGTTTCACTCTGTTTTATCTTCTCTTCTGACTCAAATGGGACAAAAATAGTAGAAAATGAAAAGCATACTGTATTTAATATGACGAAAAACTAGTGACTGAGACAATAAACTCAACAAATTTTTTTTATAGATGTCATAAATCAGTGAAATTCTAGAATCCGACCAATATATTAAATATTAGTCTAACTTAGCTCTTATAACAGCATTTATAACAGCTATGAAATTAAACTGTTAAGAGTGTTGACGTTGTAGAATGTGTAGAACACCACAAAGACAACAACCAGCTGATCCAAGCAGAGTCGGACAGAATGCAGACGCATAATTCACAGCTAGTTGTGACAGTAAACAAAACTATTTTTAAAATGCACTGTTATATTATCTTAGTAAGGATTCATAAGGAATATTAGGGAAACTTGTTTATATTTTGTGTGTCTGAATGAAAGAAAGCTTTTTAAAATCATCAAACATTAATATCAGTATTGATCTTTAAAAATCCTATATCAGTCAGGCTCTGCTGTCTTCAAGTCAATTTCTCTGAAACCAGACTTCTTTTTTTTTTTTTTTTACAAAAATTGTGGTCACCTTTTGATGGCTAATAGAAAAAACATGCAGTTTTCTGACTTGCTAACTGGATATCACCAGTTAAGTCATATCATAAGGGACATCCACACAGGAAAAGGTGATTGGAATTTTATTTAAATAATAATAATAATAATAATAATAATAATGGATTGCATTTATATAGTGCTTTTCGGGGCCCTCAAAGCGCTTTACAATACCACTATTCATTCACTCTCACTGGTGGAGGCAAGCTACAGTTGTAGCCACAGCTGCCCTGGGGCAGACTATTTGTGGCCATCTAAATAGGTGTGGGCAATGAATTATCCAAAGGGGACACATGACAGACTGGGACTGTTTTGGAGGCCCACAGCAATAAGATTAACTCGGTTCTGCTCAAAATTGATTTTATCTCTTTATAGGCTTATTGCTGCAGTCTACCACAACAGTGCCAAATTTTTATGTGGTCCTTTGGGAAAATTAATTACCCACCGCTGCTGTATAAAGTATAGAGAAATGATGGTGACTTAATAATGGGGGCAAATCACAAGTTAAACTTTTCTCAGCTTTAAAACGACCCACTGAGGCAGGCAGCAATGAGGGTAAAAGGTACTGTTGACTGGTATGTGAGGGAGTGCATATGCCAGATGGTTACCTAGGCAACCAGAGGATGGTATAGCCACTAACAACCAAACGTTATCTTAAAAATCATGCATGACAATGTGGACGAGGTTTAGTGGCACAATGACTATAAAATTTGAAAAGTGCTTGTCATTAACAGTTTGGGGTTTCTTTTCATAAGAATAACTTATTAATACTGTATCTACTACATTAACCATCACAAACAAACGGGTCACAATATAAAGGAAAAACGAGGCGAATCTTATAAAGATGTAGCCCACCGCATGCCACCACAGCAGCTTGTAGTGTCCCCTCCTTCTGCTTGAAGGATGAAACAATTCTTCCAAAATGTATTCTGTCATTAGATCTTTCATCCCATCACTGTCAAACTTCCCATAAGCGAAGTTATCATATAAGTTATAGTATATAACTTATTCAATATGTACCTCTCAATGGGTGAAGATTTGCAATGACTCTTCTCTATTACAGGACACGTCGACCCAAATCATGCAGTAGCATAACTAAACCGACACATTCTTTCATTGTACGTTGTCAAGGATTCATGTTTTCCTTAAACTGTCTGGATATCTTTTTTCTTACATAACTCGTCTTGTACCTGCTTTCAACAATAAAAAAAATACCCATGTAACCCACTGTGATTAAGTAATAGTTTTTAAATAAAACAATCATAAGATATGTGATTACCTCAGCTCACAATCCGGAAGTTTTTTATAATTTGTCTGCACTGCGCTTCTGTTAACATTAGCTTAGCTTACTTAGGCTAAATCTGCTAGCACGTTCGTGTAACCGGCGTATTCTTGCAATTTGGTCAAAACTTACGGTAACTTCAGCCACTGGTAAGACTTGCCTCTGGAAAATCTTAGTAACTACCCTTCATAGCCACGTAAACTGACGTTCAAATCGATTCAAATAAGGCTAGTCGTGACTTTACTGAATAAAAATGTTACGCTGCTGATTGCATTTTAAACATAAACAAAAAGTCAGCCGGGCTTCCACGCAAGCGTTACAGGGCGTGTCCAACAATCTGAAAACCAATCAGAAACGATGTAAGCTGTTCCCCGAACTTGTTTTGTCAGGCAGCTCAAAGCTAAAAGTCACCAGGTTTTAGCGCAGATGTTTAACTTTACTGACAAACTTAAGTTAAGAGTGAAATAATATTAAAAATAAACCGATAACAACTTATTTCATATAAAAGACTAAATTCAGAGGTTTAGTCTTCGAACAGTTTGGCTACACAAAGTTTGTCTGACAAAGCTGAATGTAGGAAAAGACAAAAATGATAAAATTGAAAGTTTTAGCTCACAGAAGAGACACTTTTGTGACATTAAATAAATAAAAATAGAAATAATCCACAAAATGTTCCCCTTTTCACTCAAAAAAATGCAATTTTACATTGTATGAGTTATCCATTTACAAAAGGAAAAACAAAAGAAGAAATTACATGAAGAATAATAAGAATAAGTACAGTGGCATCATTAAACAACATAAATACCACAACATTTTTAGTAAAAGTTGGTCAGACTTTGTAGTTTTCTACAAAAACCTCTTATTTGGTTGCACTGACTTTAGCGAGAAGCGTTTTACCTTATCAGCTTGACTGCTGTTGTAGTTTAGACTGTTGTAGCTTTTTTATGCTTTTTTTTCTTTCCCCTATTTGTATGTGTGTTTATATACATCTCTTAATTGTAATTATTTTGTAATTTGCTTATTTTGCTTACTGTCTTTCATATAGCTATGTGACTCAGTCTGCTACCCTGTGTATCTGTTACTGTTTATTTGTATGGAGAATCAAATAGCCATAAAAATGTAATAGAAGTAAGGTAATGGCTGAATGTGTTTAGCTGCACTTGAGACATCCCTGTTCACACAACATTGCTTTTAGTCACCGCTAAAGTAGGAGACTGCCGCCTAGCTGCCATCCTCTAATGAGCGCCTCCATCGCCGTCTCTATGTTCGGCTTTTGCGCCTGGCTGGTCACAACCAGTGGTGGGAGTCGATTGGATAGGTCTGTCTGGTGTTTCAAAGGAGTCGGGGTTTCCTCCAGGTGTTTTACAGCTGCCTTGAAAGCGGGGGTGCTCCATACAGTGATGTCAGTCTCCTATAGTGAACGGGTAATTCATATTTTTTGCTGTCACGGCAGTTACCCAGATTTTACGACCAGTAGAGCCTACCGGCTAGTTAGCATACGAAGCTAGTACTAACTAGCTTGGCTAAAAACAGTTGTAGCTGCTTCTGTACTGTTCATCAAGCTAGTTGATCAGCACGGCTTGAGTTGAGTCATAGTTTCTGCCTACAAAGAACAACTAATTCGTTAAAAGACATTTCAAGATACTTGTAATTATAAAGTCAATATGCTACAATTAAAATCTGGTGATATAAGATACGTAAAAGGTATTAGTTTAGGTAGTTAATAGCGAGCTAGTGGCTAACTTTGACGACTAGTGAAAAAAATATGGAAAATGGTGATGGATATCTGTGCAGTCTATGAGCGTATCCAAACGACAGCAATCTTTAGCTCTTTGATGGGGCTGAGGGCTTGGTCGTGTCAGGACACTGTAGTGACGCTTCGGCCTATTTTGATCACATGATAAGGTGGTGGATGTGGTGCCTCTGCTACTTCTGCTTTCACTACTAGTATCTAAAATGGCTTGTATTGCAAACTCAAAGTCCGTGGCCTTCTTGAGTAGGTAAGTAAAAAAGAGATTGGTATCGGCTTTTAAGCTTTGATCACGGAGAATTTTAAGAAGCGGATGCAGACCAGCCGAGAGTCTTTCTTGTCACGAGGTCGAGTTCATGTGTGGGACCGTCAGCGATCAAATGTTAGATATGTCAGCTTTAGGTTGCAACAGCAGTGTGTGAAAGGAGATACAAAGATGTTGTTCCCGTTGATGAAAAAAAAGAAATTACAGAAAAAAAATCAAAGTAAAAAACCTGATAATTTCTTCTTTATTAGCAGACTCTTTTCCAAATATACTATTTGAAAGAAATTAAACAGGTTGCCCTAAAATGTGGACTTCCTTGTTCACTGTGGTATACATTGAAATGGTTGCTGGAGTTGAGTGGTTACACCACAGAGTGAGGATTTGAGCTCTTGTTTTGAAATTTGCAGTCACAAGGTTGTGTGTCATCAGTTTCAACATTGGTGGTGATGGTGTTGGGCATACAGACTACCTGTCACCACTATTACAATTGTTGGTCACGCTGAGCCTATTTCAACAGGTTTACTGGGTACAATCTGAGGGGACCCAGCATGGACAGATTATCCTATAACACAGACTCAGTACAGACTCAGCTACCAGGTCATGCAAATTGTATACACTGCACATACCCTCCCTAAGCAAAGACTTTGGTTGCACAATAACACAGGGATTTAAAGTCACCACTAAGGATGGAAAAGTCAGAAAATGAATAGAAGGAGACACAAAAGCATAAAGCTCAACAGTTTTCATCTTGTTTTCAATGTCAGGCTGTAATTGTAGTTTTTAATGCCCTAAAGTTGGGCATTTTGACATTGGAGTCTTTGGATTTGACTTGCTTATGGTGAGTAGCTACGTGAGGAACTACCATTCTGGCAGGTCTGTCTTGGCTTCATTTTCAGCCTGGAGTTTGCCACTTGGCATATTCCTGCAATTTCTTGTCATTCAATAAATAAACATATATGTTATGCTTGAGGAAATGAAAAGCAAAAACAAATGGCTAAAATACTTTTATTACCATGGTCATCATTTTTTCCTTTTTCCTGGGTAGCTTATCCCTGTTAGCATCCACTAATATGTGGTTAAATATCTCATACCAAGTTTTAACTTTTGATAGCCATCAACAAGCTTCTGGTATAATTCTGGCTGAATATTTAACCACTCTTCTTGACAGAATTCATTTAAATTTATTAGCTTCCTGCCACAGAACTGGCTTTTAAGCATAGTTTTAAGTATAGGACTTTGAGAAGACAATTCCAGCAGCTCAATATTAACCTCCTTTGTCCATGGTAAAATCAGCTTTGATGTATGTTTTGGATCATTTTCCTGTTGGAACACCCAGCTGTGTCTAAGTTTAAACTGTCAGAAGCCCTCGGACAGTCAGACCCTTTCAACCAGTCCGAAGATGTTAATTGTAAACTGAGAGGAGCTTAAACAGCTTGTTTCAGAAAGTGGACAAACTGTAAGATATATAAGGATTATTTTGAACTTTGAATCATGCAAAACTGCTCTCGTAGAAAAACGGTGTAGTCCTTGAAATGTGTAATGTGTATTAGATGACAGAGCGTGCAATTTGATTGTTTTTAGGCAGGGTAGGTGCAAGAATCTTGGAATTAAAATAGTCAGCAGTTACTGATATTTTTGCAGGTAAGTTTCTAGGAACTGACTAAAGACTGAATAAGCTAAATGTGTTCTTGCTTACATGTGCATTCTTCAGTGCATACCTTTTTCCCTCTATGGCAGGAGGAACAGTGACATGGCTACAGATGACAAGTCCTCGTCCTCATCCTCAACGGACTGGAGCGTGGAGCCAGCTGGCATCTCACCCACCAGCCCCTCCCACCTGACTCACTTCAAGCCACTGACTCCAGAGCAGGATGAACCTCCCCTCCGCTCTGCATACAGCTCCTTTGTCAACCTGTTTCGGTTTAACAACAAAGGTGAGGAAATGCACAATATAATCAAATAGAAGCCCAAGAACTTCACTTGAGTTAGTCCAAAAGCTACACTCTGTATTGATTTTTATTTCTTTAATGTTTGAAAGTTAGAGAAAAGTGAGACCGCTCACTGATAACAGAGATTACATATAGATATTTTGCCTACCACTGTAAACACAGTGTGATAAATCTGTAGTGGAAATTACATCTTACAGTATTTTTGACTCGACACAATATTTTATAGAAGATGTTTATCTGAACCGGAGCCAGGACCCAGTGAGCTGCACAAGTCATGAATTAAAATTCTCCAATAAGTCTGGTCCCCTAATTTTAGTCATGTGATGCAGTCATGTGACCAGTTGATTTGTTTGCTCTGAGTTTTGACAGTCCTATTAAAGATTAATATGAGTGTGTACATGCTCCAGATAGCTTTTCTTCAAATTCTTTAATTCTCACTCACTTTTGCAACTTTGTACTTTTTTTTTTTTTTTGTTACTCACAGCAACAACTCCACCTCATTGTTACGGTAGTCCATTTAAAAAACTCGGTGCCGCGACGTTTCAAAGAGCCGGAAAGTAAATAAACGGCAGTCGAATCGTCTTGTGTCTCACGCATGCGCAGTACTGGAACGTAAGCGTTTTCGGCTGTTTCAATGTGGACGCGCAACTCTGTGAAAACAACTGAAAACGATAGTGTGGACGTGGAGCGTTTTCAGATGAAAACGCTGTTTTCAAACGTATATTTGATCATTTTGAATTGGCTGCCAGCAACATATATAACAAAACAAGGGGCAACAAACTGGAGAAGCTGTGTAATATTGAACACATCAGTAATATTGCATTTCAGAAAAGCTGATGCGTTCACTACTCTTGTTAACCGGTACATAATTTGATTACAGATTCAGAAATTTCCACACAAAGAAGAGTTTTTATACAGTCCCGTGACGGCTATGATCTGTGTGACTGTTGTAGAAATCACAGCACAGACTCAGGGGTACTCCTTGGATTCACTCACATTAGAGAGAAACCTTTTTGTGGTTGCATTTAATGCATTTAATTCTCTAATATCCTGATCTTTAGACTGAACAACAGTCTTTTACTGTCAGATTTCTTATCTTGAAATTGATGACTTTTTACAATTGGCTTTGATTTAACTGCAAACTACTGGACTTAATTATTCAGCACATTCTCTGTGTGTTCAGATGAGGGACGCCCTCCTTCAACAGCCTCAGAGAAGCCAGACATTCCAGCCCCTTCTCCTCAATCAGAGAGGAGAAGCTGGTCCACCAGTCCCTCTCACTCGAGGACGCATCGAAAGCAACATCCCGACCACTACAGACGCACCTCAACAGCCTCAGGTAAAAGTCACACACTGGA